CAGAATGGTTCGGTAGTTTTTGGCAGTGATGCGCCCATCTAAAGCAAATAGTGGACCTGGGGAATGCCATGATATTGCAGCCCAAATCATCACTGATTCACCCCCCTGCTGCATTCTGGGTACACAACAGTCTTTGGGGCTTTCCACACCGTAACTGTCCCGCGTGTGGGAAAGACAGTAAAAGTGGACTCAGAGAATGATACGTTTCACTTTGTCCATAGCCCAAGACTTAAGCTGCTGGCACCACTGAAGCCGACGTCTGGAATTGGCACGAGTGACCAAAGGTTTGGATATAACAGCCCGACTATTAATATTGACCCTATGGAGATCGTAGGAGTCGAAGTGCACATTTAATTCTGCAGTAAGTTGGGCAGCTTTGGGTTTGATGTTTTTTAGATAGAATCTGGGTTAGTACCCAGATATCCCTTTCAGTCAGCTTCCTCTTGCATCCACAGATACTCCTGTTGTATGTGGTCCATCCTTTGTGGTGGTATGACGACATTACCCAGGATACCAGGGCTCTCTATACATCACAATTCTTGCTGTACAAATCACAGACGCACCAGTGAGACATGCAGCGACAATTTGTCTTCTTTTGAACTCCCATTATGTTGTGTGGATTGTAATATTTTTTGTACAGCTGTGCTATTGTTCTGCTAATTCAACCCTCACATTCTGCTCTTACTGATGGAATGTGCAAATGGTGAAGATTGCCCATCAGACTGTACATATATAGGCGTGAAACCTCAAACACTATATTGGCCAGTGTTTCAGTTTCATTGTACAACCCCAATAGTCACAAGCTATAAATGTAGGCATTGTTTCAGTGTTTATTATACTGCCATTATGTTTGTTTATGAGGTGATGGGCTTGGGGAGCAGCATAACACCAAGTACAGGACAAACCTAGAAGCATGCGAGGCGGCCTCCATATATAACACAAATAACCCATTAGCAAAAGAAAATGCTGCTTCTACCCAGTGAAACCTTTGCTTCTGGCCTCATTGCTAGCAATGTAGATATTGCTGTAATATTTAAATATAGATATCACGTTAATATTTGAATGTAGATATATATCTCTTCAATTTTAAATGTAAACATCACTTTAATAATTAAACGTAGATATCACTTTAATAATTAAACGTAGATATCACTTTGCTATTTAAATGTAGACATCACTTCAGTTTTTAAATCTAGATATTGCTTTAATACTTAAGGATAGATATCACTTTAATATTGCTCTGGGGTGAGAGCAAGCTTAGAGGTCACAGTGAGGAGACAGTCACCTAGTGACAACCCTGGAGCTGTGGGTTAAGGGCTTTGCTCAGAGGCCCACAGACTTATGACTTTTCTGTCAAAGCTGGGCTCTAACTGGCAACCTTCTAATCACAGGCACAGAGGCTTAGCCCACTGAGCCACACACCGTCCACATTTGAAGGTTTGAGGGTTATGTATAATTTATTGAATGAGTGCATCTCAGTGTTTAATAGTCTAATTGAGCCAAAATCATGGCTTAGGACAAATTTTGGAATTTTGAATAATTTCATATTTTTTCCTCTGTGGAAGCGTTTTCAAACCAGTCACACAATGGTGGCCAGTATCAAATGGGAGCATTAAAACAATTCAGTCACACTCTCTACGTGATTCTTGGAATCTCATATTGCCTGTTTGTGATATTCGTATTGGTGGAGAAACTCTGCAGTTCCTCTATCAGCTTTCAAGCTTTACGATGACTCACAATTACAGTACATGTAATTCATGAAAACATGTTGAATTATATTATTTTCTTTTAAAACATTTTTAGAAAAGGGCAAACAGATTAGCAAGACCATCAGAGAAGTGTTTGATCTTTGGGATACTCACGGTTGTGCTTCTAAAGTCTCCTCTCTTGCTAGGTAATTGTACGGGACTATTCCTGTGGCTACAGTTTCCCCATGCTGGGCAATTTTCTCAACAGTCCACCATACACCAGAATTGTCAATAATTTTAAAGAGGTCGCCCTCACAGAAGGACAGTTCCTGCTTTTCCCTGGCTTCGAATGCCCACAGTGCCTTGTAGACGTCTGATGTCTTCGCATGGCCGGGACCTGATTCAGCAGCGTTTGCGGGTCCCTGCTGTTTTTCAGGGAAGACACTGTCCTTGCTGTTAACGGCGCTATCAGCTCTTCCCCAGTCGTTGATGTTGTCATCCCCATCAGCTTTTGGGGAGCTGAAGCATTCACAGAGATTCCTGAGCCAGGAGAAGCCAACGGACATGTCCCAAGAGGTGAAGAACTTTTACCAAAATTCACAAGCGTTTGTCCCCGTGTTCAGCAGGTATGGACGCAGGAGCTACAGCACCATGACATGCCAAAAACCAAGCGTTTATCTTGGGGACAGGAAGGGTGATTCACCAAGCTTCCTCATTTGCGTTTATTCATAAGAAATTCTGCATTGTTTCCGTTTTTTATTCTCACTCCTTCACTCTCGGATCCCAACATGCAGCTCTGTCCATTTTCATTTTCCTAAGCAGAATCTTTAACAGATAGAATTACATTTTTTTCTGGCTGTTAGTCACATTATATGACAAATTGCGGAAATTATGATCAGACTATTTGTGTCTTTTTAACTGCAGTATCTTTTGTTTTTGATGCATTGACAGCTACATTCCTCTTTTTGCAGTGATCAGTGACACCATCTGCTTGCTTTGACTGTTCTCCCCCCTTTGACGTCATTGTGGGCGGTACCCCACACGTGGTACTCACTGCTATAAGCATCTCTGCTGAAGTCACTGTAGGTTTCAAGAATCTAAATCCTTAGCTCAATCCAAATTTCTGCATGCAGACCAAATTTAAATTCACTCCATACTGACCAATAAATATGTATTAATTGGGACCAAAGAATGATCAGCAAAACATAAGTGAGAGTCATTCAGAAATTTAATTAAGTAGGAAGGACTTTTAATAATGAAGCATTTTGTTTTTATGTCGTTCTTGTTTTTTTGCACGTGGATGCAGTGGACACTAGCCTATCATGTGACAGCAGTAGTGGACACGAGCCTATCACGTGAAAGCACCAGTGCCACTATGTAGTAGCAGCCAATGGCAATTGAGGAAGTTGGCCGTATATGGCTAATAGGTTTATTAATCTCACATATTGTGAAGTGTCATAGCAGCAACTAGAAAGAGTGCCCAAGGAGCTTGGTCTCCTCATCCCATAGTACCTCTGCGTGAAATGGTCATTCATATCTGCCTAGCTGCTCTCCACAGGACTGGCATCCTATCTGGATTTCCCCTCCTTTGTACCCTGTGATGGACTGGTATCCTATCTGGATTTCCCCTCCGTTGTACCCTGTGCTTTTTTGGATAGGCTGTAGGCTCACTGTGACCTTGTACTGGAGAAGTAGTTTTGGATGATGGATGGGTGGGTTGGTTATCTGTTAACTCTTGCTCTGTTTTTTCTGTTGTTCTCGCAGGCTGTTTGCCTGATCAGCGGTTGACTGGTTCAATTCTTCTTGACGTTTCACACCCTCTGCACAGTGAGTTTCAGTTTCTTCCCTCTGGATGAAGGGTAATGGTCCCAAAATGTAGAACGAACAGATTTAAAGACAGCTTTGTTCCAGCGGCCATCACACTGATAAACAGATCATAGCGTTAGCGTAAGTTGTATTTAAGTTGTTTTTGTTGTCAGTTGTTCCTGTGTTGAAGTGTGTATGTAGGATGTATGACTCATGACTGCGCCCCAAATCTACCTACGGATACAAATAAAGTAACCTGAACCTGAACCTGATCATGGCTGCTCATGTGGACTGTTCACAGTGTCACCTGGTCATGGCTTGCCATATAGGCTGTTCATTTCATCACATGGTTGTAGCTGATCATATTGGCTATGCTGATGCTGTACTCTAATCCTAAATGAACATCTCCATTGTATCACATGATTTATGGCAGAAATATTACAGATCAAACAATTGCTGCTGTTTTTCATATGTAGACATATCAGACACAGTAATATAGATGTTCTTTAGCACCAGAAGCATGTTATTTCCAGAACAGAGCCTGTGTTGACTCTCAGGTCAGTATTTTAATCACAGAAATTACATTTTTTTTTTTCCATGGTTTGTCTACAGACATGTTAATTCGAATGACACTGAGGATTTGGTTTCACGTTTCTATGGCTCTGCTCCCTTGAGATCTTGTTTCCATTTTTTGAATAAACACTATCAAACTTTGAAAACTATTTGTCCTGTAGTCGATGCCTTCAGGGAGTGTATCATAGCACCCAGGCAGACTGATCTCGCCTGAAGACATGGTACCATCTGTGAAACTAGGGAGCCAAATGAAGGAGCCAGCAACACCCTGGTGATGTGTGAAAGCCGGCAGATTCTCTATTAATGGTACCTGTTAATATCCCTCTGAACATGTAAGTTCCCTAAATTCATTGAATAGGCAGTTATGGAAGCTGGGTGCAGTATTCTTTTGGGTCTCCAGATCCCATCTTGGAGTGACAGACCTTTCAGGCCACAGAACCATTTCCACAGAGTAGAGAGGATTTTGACTAGCATAAGCCATCAGAGCGATTAATTGTTCCTCTGTCAGGCAGATGGATGGTAAAGATGCTCTAAATTTCTACATTTTCACTAAAATTAATGCTGAAAATGGGACATAACCTGAAGGTTTGCACACTGGTGAATCTGCTCTTGTACAGTAGGAGTCGTTTGTTTCCTATGAAAAAAAAATCACAATTTTAATAACCTAACATCTGTAAAGAATGTCCCTTTGTCATTACTCTATAACCCCATATTAATTCTGTTTTAATTAGTTGGGGTTATAAATTCTGGGTGCAAATGTGTTTTTACATTCCTGTCATCATAATTATAGCCTAAAAGTGATACAGAATTCATGTAGAACACCATTATAAAGATAAATTATATAACAACGATTTCACATATTTCACATGGGGAAATCACTGTGTGAACCACCAAACTCATCTCTCAGGACAAAAGACAACATGCAGGGGTCTGTTTGACATGGCAGCAACTGTTTTATTTTATTGGGTTACTTTTGTGACACAAAAATCAGCTCCCACTGATTGGTTAGGGAGAAACACACCTGATCACGGTCCTCCAATCAACTGAGTGATATGTAGGTGGCAGGAAGGCCCACCACAAAATTTTTGCATCGGACAAACAGAAATAAACGTTTTTTTTATTTTCTTATTCATCTTTTACTTGTTGCACATATATATTTATATGTATATATCAACACTTTCTAAAGAATTCAAATATTTAGCCACACATACTGAAAAAGAATTCACTGTCATAACACAATAATAAATACAAAAAGAAATGATTGGTCATAAATTACAAGGTATTGGGCATTTGATTGGGAGTATGGACTAGTGATTCAATAAGACACCTGTTTTTTAAAGAGACACATCTGGTTCAAACTGAATATAACCAGATCAGATCAGAAAAAAAATGGATATGACTGAATAAGACCAGATACCAGACTGGAAATGAGCTGGCTGGACTTGTTCAGGGAATTAAATAGCCAGATCAGACTGGACATAATCAGATATGACTGGAGCGGACTGGTACAGACTGGAAATGACAGGATAAGTTCAGGCCAGACTGAACCAGATCAGACAAGAAAAGCACTGCATTGTAATTCAGATATTTAGCCACACATACTGGAAAAAGAATCCACTGTCATAACACAACAATAAATATAAAAACAAATAATTATCTGTCATAAATTACAGGGTACTGGGAATTAGAGAGGGAGGGTGGACTGCTGATTCAGTAAGACACGTGTTTTTAAAAAAGTAAATTCTTGGGGAATATCTTTTCCTGAGGTTCTGTTTCCCCTGGCAAACACGATCCAGGGGCTGTTAATGGCTTCTAATTCACTGAGGAACATTGGTGACGAGAGAACTGCTACATCGAGACCTTAGAATTGGAAAAAAAATTAAAGCTGTGAGATGTGAGGTTTAAAGTTCCAAGTTCTGAATGTGTTTGTGCAGGTAGAACTTTTCAACTGAAGGTTCATCTTACAGACAAAACTACATCTCCTTAAGAATGCATAGGTGCAGAGCGACAGAGACAGAGAGCCAACATTAGCAACTAGCTCCTGATAACCAAAATGAAAGAACCCAGTAGTGACAAGGTCTCGATTAGCTGAAAATGAGGAAACTGCCAGTGTTCCCTGGGTGCTCGCCACACTCTGTAGACACCTTCTAAAGTCACTGAAGTGTGATACCATCCTATCTGAGTGTGGTGGCACTTCGCAAGGTTTCTCGAATAAATGCATACAGTCTGGGGATAGGAAACGGGACAGAGAATCAGGGCAACAAACGACATCATCAACAACAATGACAACAAAAAGTAAAACAAGGTCAAACTAATTGCAAAAATCTGTACATGTAAACATCACACTTCGACTGAGTCCAGAATTGGGTGGGGAAAATTACAAAGTTTCACATTGGTATAAAGTATAAATACAGTTTTACATTAGTATAAGGTATAAATAGAGAAACAGTTAATACCATCAGCTTCTGGTATGTAAAGATGAAATTCTTGAGCAGAACCGACCATAAAATCTTAACTCACTGGCAAATTACAGAATAGACCAGGCTATGGCCTGAACCATATTGATTTGACTGAAGCTGTTCACTGCCCTGATAGAAAAATAAAAAGTAAATTTTTTCAGATTTTTTTCTGACTTGTACATTTGACCCCAGACAGAGAGCAGGTAGCGGCAGTGAGGCTCCAACTCTGAAAATATAAATACTTATATATATCAACACTCTGGACAAAGAAAAAGGAAACATCTCAACTGAGGATTGACCCGACACCATGCCTGGTTGGCGATTTCATACACACACACACACATGCACACACACATACATACACACACTCGCTGGGTGGATAGCCCTTACAAGGCTCATCGATTGACTAATCTGCAGTTACTCAACATCTTAAAACTGTTTTTGAGGAAACAGCCTCCTTGCCCTCACCCCCGCAAGACACTCACCCTTCCCAACCGAGCCTGTACAGCCACAAGTGGCTTTTGATCCATAGATTCTGCCGTAAAGAGAAAATTGACCAATCCAGCATGCGTGACAGAAAGCATGTCTCACTTGCCTTCACGCAACCCGTGACCTCTCTGCAGTGCCCGCCCATCTTTCCTTCCTCAGAATCTGTGACCGATGGCACTAGCATGTGACACAAAGGAGCCACTTGCACGTGGAATCCCCGCCCGCTGATCCTTGGGACATCATGCCACATGAGCTGCCGGCTGTTACGGCAACATGTCACACCCTCCAGACAGTTTTTAAAGCACGATAATTCTTCCCCCCTCGGCTCCCCTCACAACCACCGGATCGGGGCCGGATCTGCACACGGTGACGAGCGCGACGGTATCAGGAGATGCCAGTTGTGCCAGTGGCCGAGCTGTGGAATGTGTGAAGATGACGGCAAGGCAACTCTTCCTGTGAATCAGCATTGTACAAAAGACGTTTGGGGTAGAACAGTACTCTATAAATATATACTGTAAATATAGACATATATAAAAATCAGAGTGTTAATACCACTTAAAAACAGAAACCGGTGACAAGGGCGCTGGAGGCTGTTGCTGTGTCTCACGTGAGCATGTCTGCAGGACACATGCTAACATGATGTCACAGCCTGGCACACAGGAAGCGGGGGTGGGGGCACAGCAGGCTGCACAGGAGACACGCTACACGTCCAGGATTGTCTAATGCCATTTTTGTGTGTCTATTGATGAATGAGTTTAGTGTCACTGGAGATGAGTTGGCTTTTTGCAAGAGCTACACGTTAAAGTCACAGCGAGAGTCTCACTCTACGAGAGGAATGTGATGCAGCCAGCTAGCAGAGCCCGAGTGTCAACATGCCCCCCCCCCCAAGCCACACGGTGCTCATGGTGCAGCCCAAACATGCTGTGGGTTTGAACAACACAGTGCAGGAGAACTACAATGAATGTCAGGTACATTCACACACACACACACACACACACACACACACACTCACAAGTATGCACACGAACGCACACACACACACACTGGAGGTACAGGCCAGCCATGGGATTGATGCATGTGATCCTTTTATCAAACTGGACTCTCCTTCATAAGAATATTTGCTGACAATGATCTTTACTGCAGTACCTCACCCAGGACAACAAGCAATCGAAGAGCAAGGAATATGAGCTGGAAAAGCATCCTGCTAGGAGACTGGTGGGGAAAGACACCAGTCTTCCTGTGGGCCACCAGGGGGCACTGATGAGGTTGTACACATCATGCCGGATGATCCACGTGTGTCACATTAGGACCATAGAGGGGGGCGAGGTGGCGTTACCAGGGGCAACTGGGCAGTGAGGACTTGTGAGGAGCCGCCCAAGATCTCAGGCAGCCAATGAGTGTGTGGGTGCTGTGGTGACGGTGGCATAAGGGGGGTCCATCCTGGAGAATCACACACACTGTCTGAATTACAAAAATGAAGGAGAAAAGTGAAAAAGAACAAAGCGTTAGATTGTTGTGTTATCAGCTCCAGTTTTGGCTTTGTTGTCAATTGCATTTTTCGTTGCATTGTCCTTCTTTCTCTTGCAAGCTTGAGGAGTGCAGGAACCAGCAGTCTTGGCTTGAGGTCTGCAGGTTCGTAGCAGCAACCGAGGTGCGGCAGGCCGCGTGGGAACGAGGCCGTCGCTCCTGTTTATCCGCAGCAGAGCGCAACCGACTCATGCGACGGAAGAGCGGGGAGGTCCAAGGGGAGTGGGGGATTAGGCTGCGTGGGCGTTGGAGCAAAGGGCCGGAACAGCAAAGCCCCCCAAACATGGCAACCCTGTCGGCCGGGAAACCGCTGCCGATCCAGGCGCCATTTCAGAGATCAGAGAAACAGCCGGTGCTGAAGTCTGGAGGATGAGACATCCAGCCACTCTGGGGGCTCAGGGATCTCCCAGTGCAGATACCGCAGAGCCCATGAGGCTCCATGTGATGGACCAGCCAGTGCCGACCAAAGCCTATGCAGTTACAGATCTATAGGGGGCGCCAGTCTCCAGGCTTTCATAGCCAAGCATGACTACCGTAACTGGTAGCTGCAATATATACATACGGGTCTGAGCAATGCGAAACCTTTCCCTTTACAATTCAAATCATAGAAATTATATTTTTGAAATTTTTAAATCTCAGCATTTTTTAAAATCTTTCCTTTTTGTAGAAAATATAATGAGATAATTGTTACTTTCAAACACCAACTCTGGGGAAAAAAAGCGCAAAAAAAAACAGTGAGTACTGTGGTTCTGAGGTATCTTCATGTGTGAAATGGCGCTTTCATGACGCTCGAGTCACGGGGGTGGGGTGGGGGGGGGTGGTGTGAAAAGTGCAGGGACACAGAGAGATTATGTACAGGTCACCGTCGACCTTCTCATCTTCCTCTTCCTCCTTTACGCTTTGCTTCTTGGCAGATGCTCATCCTCCACACCCAGTAGTGCCATCTTTCAGTCAGCAGGTTGTGACACGAACTGGATCAATCAGAACAACTTTCTTTTAACTTGAAAATATCATTGTCTGTTTAGAAAGCCAGTTAGGAGACTGGGAGCAGCTTGTATAAAATGTGGACAAAAGTGAATGGTCCTGCCGAAATCCCAGTCCCGGCCTCCTCTGTTCTGTCTGCTGCGAGTGTGACACAGCGCCACCCAGTGGGGAAAATGGGGGGGGTGCCAAGATGGTGGCTGACACCCTGTTAGGTAGTCTCATCTCTATCAATGCATTCCTCAACTCTGTGTTCATTCGTTTCCTTGTTTTTCTGTGATGAAGGCAGAAAACTGTTCCTAAACAGGTGTGGGTTGGCGTGTGTGACTCTGCGTGTCTCTGTCTGTGCATTTCTATCTGTGACTGTGTGTGTTTGTCTTTGTGTTTATGGCTATGCATTTGTGTAGCTCTGTGTGTGTGTATGTATGACTGTGAGTGTATCTGTATGTTTATGGCACTGTGTGTGCATATCTGTGTGTGTGTGTGTGTGTGTGTGTGTATCTGGGTGTGGGTAGGCGGGTGATGAACGGCGGGTGCTTTTTTTTGGGGCAGGGGGGAGCTCCTCAGTTCTGCTGCAGGATCAGGCTCTCCAGCTCGTCCGCTGAGCGCAGCAAGAATGCTGCCGACTCGCGGTAACCGGCGATGAGTTGCCGCACTGCCGCCACTTCGGGGGCGCTCAGCTGAGCCGAGGCGCCCCCTCCCCCCCCACCTGGCCCGTGACTGTTGGAGCTGCCGGATGCCATGGACTTCATGCTGAGGTCTGTGGGCCCTGAGAAGATAATAATGAACCTTATTACTTAAAGTGTCCCTCCAGCCCCCCGAAACAGAACTGGTGCCCAACAGTGACCATTATAACCCATCTATATTTCATTATTCTCATCAGATGCTGCGGCAGCGCTAAGCTATGAAAAATGCTGAGTGACCCTAATGGCAAGCAGTTTCACAGACACAGAGTCCCCATGCATGCATGTCAAGAGCAGTTACCATTAGTCTGTGGGGTAGCAGTTGACCCGGAGGTGGTGTGCTGTGGACCATAACCACGGTAGCTGTAGTTGAGGCCTCCGTTGGTGTAGAGCTGCTCTTGGGAGTAGACGGAGGCAGCCAGTGAGTAGGCAGAGTGTGCCAGGGTGGCTGGGTCCCGCAGACTGGGTTTGTCAAGGGCAATCTGCTCATCCTTTGGGGCAACAGGAGGGGGCAATAAGCACTTAGGATACTGAAAACTAGATATACAGATTAGCAGGAAGACCTATAGACTATAGAATCTTTCCATTCATCCAGCCATCCATCCATACTGGGCCACGGGGGTAGCAGTCTGAGCAGGGATGCCCAGAACTCCATCTCCCCAGCCACTTCCTCCAGCTCCTCCGACGGGATATACAGGTGCTCACATGCCCAAAGCACATCCCTAGGGAGCTGTCCAGGAGGACCACAGACAGATGTCTGAACCACCTTAGCTGACTCCTTTCAATGCGGAGAAGCAGTGGCCCTCCTAAATTCCTGAGCTCCTCACCCTATCTCTAAGGCTGAGCACAGACACCCTATAAAGGATGCCTATTTCCGCTGCTAGTATCTGCAATCTTATTATTTTAGGAAATAGCCAGAGCTTGTGACCATAGGAGACGGTAGGAATGTAGATCGATCAGTAAATCGAAAGCTTAACCTTTCAACTCAGCTCTTTCTTCACCAGAACAGACCAATAAAATGACCACATATCTGCTGATGCTGCACTGATCTGCCTGCCAACGTCCTGCTTCATTCTTCCCACATTCATCAGCAAGATCCTGAGATACTTAAACTCCTCTGCTGTGGGCAAAGAGCTGGTCCCGTGTTCTGTAACCAGTAGGAACCCACTTTGCTCCTCCTAAATCTGAGGTTCAACCAGCGGATGAACCCATCTCTCCAGCACCCTGGCATTGACCATCGCAGGGAGACTAAACTAAGGAGTGATGCACTATCCCTGACCTCCATGCAGTGTTGAAGAGGTGCGTCAGCTAAGGCAGTCCAACGACCTCCAGAGACTTCAGGAACTCTGGGTGAATCTCATTCACCCCAGAGCCTCACACCCCAATGTCTCATCCCTGCTGCATAACTGACATCAAAGATTTTTCGAATGGGTGTTAACCTCCATCAAGGGTGTGTCTCATCTCCAATCCTGCCTGTGCCTGTGATTTTCATAAATAAAATATCAAGGCAGAGTCATAGATGGAAGGGTGCGGGTATCGCAGGCTAGAAGTGGCATTCCTGCTATTTGCAGATACTGCTCACATTACAGGATAATACTTCATGTCTACTGTCCTGTGTGTCTTGTGAGGTTGTTGTGAATCTGTGCACTAGCATGCAAGTAAGAATTTCACTGTGCATGTTCCAATAAAGCAATGTACCCATAAATCCTTTAAGAATATTGTAGTTTTGGCATTATCTACCCATGACCTCCAGGATGTACCTCAGCGACTTCATGGTGAGTGTGAAACAGGGGGGATGAGAGTCAGCACCCCCAAATCTGAGGCCACGAAGCACTGAGCAGATTCGTGGTGGTGAAGCCAGAGTTATATTGTAAGATGATAGTTGCAGTTTACTAGTCAGTCTATGGGCCCTACTGTGCACCCGACACAAAGTGATGGCAGACGAGATGCCATCTTGGTCAGCATGAGCCTGATGCGGTTGTCATTCTCCTGTCCAGTGATGAAGATGTCTGATTATCAAATGTATTTGTGCCCATCTGAGCGCCCATGGGCAAGTCAGTTTAAAATGAGGTGGAGTCGGGCGTGTTGTTGGCACACAGCTATCATGAAGCAGTGAAAAGCAGTTGTGTAACTGACCAACAAAAACCTTGTGTAAAGTCAATGGCACAGTATTTCACTGTCATTTCATATCAAGATAGTAACATGCGGCTACATTGGAGCATGCACAGTGCATGTACACCAAACACCACAACGCATTCACAGGAATGCTCAGCAGTGCACAGACATGCAAAAGATTAAAAATAAAAAGATTACAATACGAAAATCATTAATGTGTACATGAAGATATTTTTACGAATGATGTCTTAATGGGTATAGTATTCATCAAAATTAGGTAATGGGAATAATACCGAATGAAACTGGTGAATTATTACAGCGGAAGCCCCATATCTGCAGTTTCAGTTATCCATGGTTTATGATGCAATATTTTTCACTGCACTGCCTGTGTTTTTTCATTGCTCCATCATTCCTTGATACATATTTTTTCATTGCTATATTGTCTCTTGAGAATTAGGTTAAAACAGAATCCCATTCACTGGAGAAAGTACACTATTGTAATGTATTATATAATAATGTACAATGTACTTTATTATTACTGTATATAATATTGGTAATGTCTTACTGTTCGTAATTTATCAGTTAAACTTTACCATATGTATGCACAAGAAAATACAGAGCCCATGAGGCTCTTCGGCTTTTCACAGTAGTCCTTGGAACGACTCACCCACAGATACGGGGGGACTACTGTAATTATTAATTATTATTATTATTATTATTATTATTATTATTATTATTATTAACAACTCGGGGAGCTTTGGTGGAAACCTGATGTTACTCTAGATTGTCTGCTCATGTGCTTTCACTTCACACACTTCACTCATGTGCTTTCTGCTACCCAGTGAATTGTTATAATTGCAATTCGCCAAGGTGCACGCCTGCCTTTTAAAGGCAATGGAAGTTGACACTCTGATTGGTTTATAGCATGTTATTCCCCTAACACACCCATGAGTCATTATGAGACTAAGCATGCACCTGGCGCGGTGACTCTGCGCCGTTAAATTAACAGAAGTGGATTTGGGCCCTAAATGAACCTGAACATGCGCTTCAGACGGGTATCATAGGGCCTATAACTCCTCACATGTGAGCTGTGGATAATGACTGAAAGAACAAGGTAGCAAGTACAAGCAGACAAAATGAGGACTAACTCTGACAGGTTAGCTAATGCGGCTTGAGCATCTTATAAGAGTATATAAGAATCCAGGCATATCTCCCTGGGCAGAGGAAACAGGGAACCCCCAGGAGTATCTAGGGATCCGCATAATCATCTAGTCTGCAAGCAGAGGAAAGGAGCTTGAGTCTGATCCAGAAAAAGCGGTGGGAAAATGAAGATGATGATGATGGTGATGATGATGATGATGCTAAGTCTTTAAATTATTTTATTTCAATCAGATGAGATTTTAAATAAAGGGCTTCTGTTTTGGCAGACTGTGACATTTTCTCAAAAATTCTCTCCACAAAAACAGCAAAACCTGCCTACTCACACAGACTTACAGTTTCACTGGCACAAACAAACACTCACCCACACAGACAGACAGACTCACACACACACATGCATATGCGGACACACAGTGACACAGATACACACACGGCGACACACATACAGATACACAGACACCCAGTGACACACATATACAGACACACACACTTACCGCAGGCTGGTAGGCATCCAGCCGCATCCTCTTGGCTGCGTTACGTGTCTCACTCTCGCAGGCTGCAGCCAGGATGTTCTCAGCCATGGCAGAGGTGAGGTGTGGCGGGGTTGGCCGCGTCTGGGACAGGGAAGCCAGTCGCAGTGAACAGTTAGTTACAGTGCGTCGCCAATTGCAGTGTACAGCCAGTTTCAATGTATGGTCAGTCGTAGCGGGTAGCCAGTCACAGTGTACAACTAGTCTCAGTGCACAGCCAGTTGCAGAGAGTAGCCACTCGCTGAGTCTGTGTCCGTGTGTTCAGGGAAGAAGAAGGAAGCACACTCTGTGTTTGGGATGGTAATCACTGTGTGTGTGGTTGGCGTGGCATCATATATGTAAATAAGGTCAGTGCAGTAGTGTGAACATGACTGTGGTCAGTGTGACTGTGTCTGCTGAGACCTGCACCCATACCACTGGACAGCAGAGAGCAGGCACAAGGGACACATCTGGCCAGGGTGCTGCCCAATTGGACGGAGAGATGCTGCCACTAATGTCAGGGTAATGTGCCATCCAATAGTACAGCAGCACTCAACTGGTCCTAATGAGTAGGATTAGGGATGGTGCCTTCGCTAATGCAAAGGTAATGTGCTGCCCAGTGGCAGAACAGCCCTAGCCAATGGGAGAGCATCACATGGTAATGCACCACAGCCTCACCTCCATGCCACCCTTCTTCATGCGGCGGCAGGACTTGAGGTAGGTGCGGATGCGCTTGCGAGCTCGCTCCTGGAACTCCGGGAACTGCCGGCTGCACGACTCGATAATGGCCTGGATCTTCTCTTTGGGCTGCTTGGAGATGGGCACCATGCGGTCCAGGTTCTCATCCACGAAGAGCCTCACAAACATCTAGGGAGGAGTAGCAGGTGGTCTGGACACAGTCACTTTGAAAGGTGACACACTTCCCACTTACAATTTTTTACAAAATGTCTGCTGCATTAATAATACTATTTTCCAGCATTAATCAGTAGAATGACACCCAGGGTCTCTCCTTGCCTTCTACACTACACAGTGTGGGACAGGCTCCACAAGTCATCTGGGTCAAGATTATTCCAAGCAGATTTGGAAGATGGATGGATATAAGGTTTGCGGAAGGCTTACAATAAAACAAAGAGCTTAGCAGTATAATATGATATTATGTAACAAACCCATGATCTTTCTGCCTTAAGTGCAGAACCTGTCTGTAATGTACTGTAAGAGAATGATCTGTATGAGGAGGCCGATGCCGTCAGGGTGACTTATGCCCTCACGTTGAAGGCTTTCAGCCGCTCGGGGTCCAGGCCCTCCGTGTCGGTGATCTTGTCGCTGTCATCGTGGTCGTCGTGCTCGTCGTCGTCGTCATCGACTGCCTGCGCCCGGCCCGTGCTCAGGTCCTCAGCGGAGGCGCTCACCTCTGTCTTTACAGAGTCGTAACTCCCTGAGCTGTACTGAGGGGACTGTGTGCAGGAAAGAGACGCAGAAATGGACACGTACAGACACCCACATAAACCGATGAGCACAACAGTCACATTCATCATGGTCTATTTAGAGTCATGGAAAAATTAGAGCACACCTACAATTCCATGCTTTTATTTATCAGGGCTTAAATGACAATTGTATGGTCCTCACCAACGTCTATACCTAACACAACAGATTTCAATATTTTGTCATTTTTTCCAAAAAGTAAGCCAGTGTTGAGAAACCATTCAGATAAAAGTACCCCTGATTACCACCTTCAGCAACGATTCTGTGAGACTTTGTCTCTCACATTGTTTTGTTCGGTATCGCTTCAGCTCATTGATGTTTGAGGCCATAACTCTCAGTGCTCATCCAGTCCCGTGCCTTTTGTCCCTACCTTGTTGCCGTAATCCAGGCGCAGCTCCGTGGCGTGAGGGGGCCCACCAGGGAACTTCCTGCGCAGGCCGTCGGACACAGTGTGTTCAGCTGCGAGGTTGATGGGTTGCTGCTCCTCGGAGGAGGGCGAGGACGACGTGGTGCTGAAGTCCAGCGGTGCCGCGCCCCCGCCCCCATTCACCTCGGCCTCAGGGGGGGTTGCCCCGGCCGCTGTGGGGGGCGTCAGCGAGGGCACTCCATTGGCACTGCCGCTCTCAGAGGAGGAGTCGTCTAGTGGCAGAAGTGAGAGACTGAGCATGAACACACCATGTACAATGATAGCAAAATGCAATAATAACACACAGAAACACATGTGAATAAAGTCGAACACGGTATATAGATTCATGAGCAGGACAGTCGCCCTGGACATCGTCAGTGATGGTGCGCTCACATGATTCTCTCTTGTGGGGGGGGCAGAGATGTTCACCAGTCACAAAATTAGAGTCCGAATCAAGTCCCAAATCTCCAACGTGGTTCCAATTTGACATTAATGTTTATCAAAAATATAACCGCCTATTTGTTTTTTTCAATTAGTATCTGACGCGACTAAATGGGAATCACCACTTGAACAGTTCAAAAACTGCACGTCTCATAGTTCCTTAGACTTATGCANATCTTCAAAGTAATTGCTATTTCAAATGCCTTTGAAGCAATAAAAAATGTGTAAGAACTTTTCTAATGTAGATGTTAAAACTAATACTTTCTCAAAAATACCATTATGATGAAGACATTCATTGCAGGAGATTTTGCCAAAAATTCCTGAGTTGGAACGTGCGCGTTTGCACAAACTGCTGTGCTGAAAGCATGTCAGAAGGGCCTTGCTCTGGAGCCAGACCAAACCATGCCGGGCTCCGCCCCCAACTACTTTAAAGTGACGTGATTGGTTAATGAATGAGTATAACCCATAAAGTAAGTGCAGGTTAAAGTAAATCTTGATTCTCATTTTTAAATATCATTCTAAAGCAGAAAGAGTTAATGGATAAAATAGATTTGTCTCTCAGCTCATGTGTGTGTGTAATTAAATAAATGATTGTGCAAGTAACACCACAAACTCCACATTAAAAAGTTAAAATAAACTGTGCAGTCGTACTGCTCTTTTAGTTATGGATAAGCGGTCAGAGATATGACTGTTCAATCGAATTATTTGCTGGTGTTAGGTTTATACTTTATTAAAAACCATTATATTTGAGTGATGGAAGTCCAGATAATTTAAGGTGTGACACTACATGCCCTACATGGGGTACAATGAAGAGGTACGAGCAGTTTATAAGTTGTAAGAAAATACAGCTTGACTTGGAAGGGTATGTCAGAAACGAAAAGGTGCTGCTAAAATACCAGATTTATGGCGATCTATGTTGATCTGTGTCACTGTATAACAACACAATGTATATAGAATTTATGACACAGGTTAAGCCATGGCTAGTTCTTAGTGGTGCCTTCTAATGCAAAATAAAACTTGCAATAACATTTGGAATATCCTGTGCTTTGCCAGATCGGGTCCGCAATTTGTACTAGTAGCAAAACAGAAAAAGTGTGCTGTTTGTTGATATCGCCTGATGTTACACTTCTCCGTTCCTATGCTCTGTGCACAGCTGCACATTGTGATGTGTTTAACGCCATTACAGAGTGGGGAGTGTTTTAGGAACTGAAAAATAACAAGTTGCAAATGAAGTCGGAAGTGAATTTAAGAGTGACTCAAGTGCGACTTGAGTATGAGTCACAAACTCGAGTCCCCATCCCTGGTGGTGGTGGGGGGGATGGGTACCATGTGGATGTAGTGTAATGCCACCTGCAAGCAGCAGAGGGCACTGTGAAAGATCATGCTGTTCACTGTAAGGGTATATATTCCATATATTATTCATTATTAGTGGCATTGCACATCACTATGTATTGATGCATTCTCGAAAACTTGGAACTTAAAATTTCCAACCTTCTACTTCAAAAAGTAGTATAGAAAAACTGAACAGAATGGATTCGTAAAGCAAATTTACGCAAGCAAATGCTAATTCCACTAGCGTTTGACGCTTGCATAACAGTGATTCTCACATATGTGCTAGGAGGTATTAGCACATAGTAAATCATGATGTACACTGTGTGAACAGTAAATAAGCATCTTTTCTGTTTTACGTCACTCTGGCGCTCCAAACCTGGCAACGCCTTTACCGAGCCGACCCTTCTGCAGTGGAAAACCAAAGTGAGCTGGAACCATAAATGGACTCTCTTTGCAGAACGGCTCAAGTACAGCTCAGTTCCTGTATGCTGGTGGAAAAGCCCCATCAGCTTGAAACATATATTTAGTGAAGGGTCACTGCTCTGTGTGTGCATATCTACTGGTCAGAACTTCAGGTACACTAGTGGCCAAAATTGTGGAAACACTTCCAATTATTAGAGATTGCAGAACTTTATTCAACTGTGGCTGCAGTTACTTATTTAATCATTCAATGTATGATATTGGTAACATTCTTTGATTGTTTATAAACATTAACACCAATATTTGTGTAGCCATTTTTAAAGCGTGATGCCAAAAATGCTGGGCGTTTCCACATTTTTGGCCACTAGTGCAAAGGGACTCTTTTTTAAAAGTGGAAATATGTGTTAAAATGAGAGTTTAAAGCATTAAAAGATAAAGCTTCAGAACAGGAAAGTGAGGGAAATGGCATTGGGAGGGCTTTTAACATTAGGCCCCTTCCCACTCTCAGCCACATACACCCATACTGAAAATGCAGCAAGCAGCCACTAGGTGGCTCAGACACAGCCATTCTGCCTCATTTCCACATGGAGAGTATCCCCATAGACCCTCCGATATTCGAGTGGACGCCCCCCCTGCCCTGCTGATCCCTGCTGTACTGACACACTGGTAGCACTGGCACATGGGAGGGTAGAGTAAGCATGACAGCACCCCGCCCCGTCTAGTTAGGTACTACTTCCTTTAATGTGTTTCATTTTTTCCGTACAATTCAGCAGTTGGCCCTTTGACAATTTTACACTGGCATGTTCTTCCTGTTTAACAATAGTAATGAAAATCAATGCTTTGAGATTTTATTTTCTTCTGTATTCCATTAATCATGTGTGATTAAGTTCCCATGGTAATATCTGTGATTTTTTTCGGTCAAGTTACAAACGATTCAATATAGGTTATCAAAATAAATGTAATAAATTTATTGATAAATCAAATCGAATCGTGATAGAAATGAAAGATGCATTAACTTGTTCCCTCTACAATCATAATCAAATCAAATCGGCAACAATTTATACCCCTAATGACCAGTGCTCAGAGTATTGCACCCATGAACATATGACCACTGCTCAAAGCTCAAAGCACTGCACTTACAACCACTGCTCACAGCATTGTACTGATGGTCACTGCTCAGAACGTTGTACATAGAACCACTGCATGTATGACCATAGCTCAGAGGACTGCACATATGACCACTGCTCAGGGCACTGCACATATGACATTAATAAGACAATAATGGTGCAGAGTGCTGAATCAGTGTAAAGCATGCTCATCATGTTCCTCCATATCTGTTGCCACCGATTTCCAGTGGTTTTGTGGTCTGTTCCAGACATCTCGAAAAGAACAGAGAAGCTGTTCTCTCTCTCTCTCTCTCTCTCTCACACACACACACACACAAATGCACGGATTCACACATTACCCCCTCTCACACCACCGTGAACAGAGACTGACAGACAGACAGGCAGACCGACATCTGCACCTTAATAGCCACTCCCTCATGGCTGTGGCCTCTCCTCTCATCTCCTCCCTTCACCTCTCCCTGCTCTCTTCTCTTCTCCTGTCCCTACTTCCTCTCTTCTCGTGCCTTCTCTCCTCTCCCTCTCCTCTCCTCTCCTCTCCTCTTCTCCCCACACAGAAATGTAAACAGGGGGCAGTTCTGTACCTAACAGCACTACCTCAGGGGGTAACAATCTTGTTTAAAGAGGCTTTACTCTGAAGGATTCTGGCAGCTGATCTGCACAACACACGCTGTCTGTCTGTCAGTTAAAGCACAACACACATTATCTGTCAGTTAAAGCACAACACACATTATCTGTCAGTTAAAGCACAACACACATTGCCTGTCAGCCAGAGTACAACACATACTGCCTGTCTGTCAGAGAACACCACACATTGCCGGTCTGTCTGTCTGTCACAGCACAACACACACTGTCTGTCTGTCAGTCAAAGCAAAACACACCATCTGTCTGTCAGATAAAAAACACACACTGTCTGTCAGTCAGAACACAACGCACACTATCAGTTAGAGAACAACGCACACTGTCTGCAAGTCAGAACACAACATGCAGTCTGTCTGTCAGTCAGAGCAAAACACATACTGTATGTCAACCACAGCACAACATACACTGCCAGTCTGTTAGAGTAAGTCAGTCTATCTGTCAGTCAGTCAGAGCAAAACATATATTTTTGTCTGTTAGAGCAAAACACACACTATCCATAAGTCAGAACACAATGTAGACAGTCAGCCAGAGAGCAACGCACGCTGTCAGTCTGAACACAACATGCAGTCTGTCTGTCAGTCAGAGCAAAACACATACTGTATGTCAACCACAGCACAACAAACACTGGCTGTCAGCCAGAGATCAACACACAGTCTGTCACCCAGAACACCACACACACCATTTGTCTATCTGTCAGCCAGAGCGCAAAACACACTGTCTGTCTATCAGTCAGAGCAAAACACACACTACTGACTTCAAAATGATGCTTAATATACCTCCCTGTGATCAGCTGTTGACACCTAGCATTTGGGCTATACAATTAATCGTAAAAAAAAAAAAAACTTTCGATTTCGATTCACATCTCTATGTGATCTCAATACTAAATTACAATGGTTCTTTTGCATTGTATTACATCAGCTAGATCAAAGCGCTCCTACTTTACCCCAAAGAGTCTCAAGCATTCCATAATTCTGCATTGTCTTTAAAGGACGCTTTTCCACTGCACCAGGTACCTTACTTTTGGTACATACCAAAAGTATGGTACTTTAAGGTGTTAGTTTTCCACTGGTGTAAAAACCTGTAATGGCGACAAATGACTGGTTTTTGAGAAATTTATGTTGAATTTATGGGTCACTTCATTTATCCACGCATCCATTATTATTATTAGTAGTAGTAGTGGTAGTAGTAGTAGTATTATTATTAATATTTAACCTGTTTTGAAGATGTGGTTGTATTGATAGTTGCATTGCGTTTCAAAGGCAGGCTATTTGTATAGTTGTTCGACAAAGTTTTTCCAGTCCCATCCCAAAGTACTGAAGTACCAAAAAAAGTACCCCACTGACACAATTGGTACTGTAACGCTTGGTATGACTATTTTGGTTACCCTAATTGAATGGCCAATTGAGCTTTCCTTTCTGTTGTCAGAAGTTGATATGCCGATTCTGGATCAATCATATGTTTGGCACAGTCATGTTTTGTTGTGTTTCCTTTTGCAGTTTAATGAGTGCAATAAATGTTTAAACTTCTAAGTAAAAGAATCATGATTCACATTTTTTTCAGAATCGCGCAGCCCTACCTAGCATATCTTAATATGGAGACAAAGAATATCCCTTTAATTATGGAGGACTGAGGAAAATCCCTGCCTGCCCCCACCACCACCACCAGTTTCTGCTTCTTCAGTTCCATTGGCTTATGTATGGTTAAATTCTATACTGAAACCTACTCAGTATAATCACTATAACTTTTACATACTACTGTATTCATAACAGTTCATGCTTAGGTTGCAGAAATATTTCCCCACAACAGCAAACCCAAAGCGCTAACCATTAACTGTGTATCCTGCCCACCTGCTTGGCACTGCAAGCTTTACACAATTTTAACCTGCCCATCTCCACACAAACCCACCCTCTCTGCAGTAGCCCTGCCCATCTCCACACAAACCTCACCCTCTCTGCAGTAGCCCTGCCCATTTTCACAAGCCCCACCCTCTCTGCAGTAGCCCTGCCCATCTCCACACAAACCTCACCCTCTCTGCAGTAGCCCCACCCATCTTCACAAACCCCACCCTCTCTGCAGTAGACCTACCCTTATCCACACAAACCCCACCCTTTCTGCAGTAGTCCTACCCATCTCCACAAACCCCCCCTCTGCAGTAGCCCTCCCCATCTCCACACAAATCCCACCCTCTCTGCAGTAGTCTTGCCCATTTCCACGCAAACCCCACCCTCTCTGCCACTGCCCTGCCCATCTTCACACAAACCCCACCCTCTCTGCCACTGCCCTGCCCATATCCACACAAACTCCACCCTCTCTGCAGTAGCCCTGCCCATCTCCACAAAACCCCACCCGCTTTCCCCAGTAATGCACCCACCTCCACAGAAACCCCGTTGTAATGCAGCAGCTCTGCCAGCCTCCACACAAAGGCCGTCCTCTTTCCAGCAACTCTGCTAATATTCATATTCAGTCCCACCCACATCCAAGTCAGTACTGAAACGGAAGAGGCTGCTTGACCCAAATCTAAGGCCCCCCTTAACTGCCCTTCCTCTCCACTCACAGAACCCCCACACTACGTGTGCTAGTGTGAATATGTACAAAATATTAGAAACTTAAGAACGACACTGGGGCTGAAACATGAGTGACACAATAGTCAGAAATACTTAGATCCTATTATCTGCATGTTATCTGTCTGAAACAATGTCATTTTGCTTCCAGATTTTTATAAATGTGTATATTTGTATGTTTGTTGCACAAACATCATGGCTATTCATTCCATGCCAGTAGAGTTCCCCGAAAGCGTGACAGGGGTGAGATTCCTTACCATCCTCGTCCTTATGCCCAGTCTCGGGGCTGTGTGACCGTGCTCCGGGGTGGGGGGGGCTCATGTCCGACGTGGGGCCACGGTCGGTGGACATCCACGTGGGGTCGTTCATTTCGAGGTCCTCGCTGCTCACTGAGGTGTCATCCTGGCCAGAGGTGGATGAACAGATGAGAGAGGAGGGGGGTTAGGCTATGGATCAGCAAGGACAGCAGAATGAGCTGAACCAGGACACAGAGGTCCTGTCAGGCACATACCTCAATACATCATCATTTCAATATGTCACCCATACCAAGAATATGCATTAAAGCACACACTGAACAGGACACAGAGGTCCTGTCAGGCACATACCTCAATATATAAATAAATGCAATGTAAATGTCTCTCTTAGTACATCATCTATATGAAGCATAAGCACCAGCACTTACACTAAACATTCAGAGGTCAAAACGGACTAATGCATAATAAAACACTGAAATCCATTTTCAAAACCCACTTATTAAATTAGGGTGGTGCCCGCCTGCAGTGTGGATGGGACAGGATTTTCATGCACAGACACCTTCACTTGCACGCTGCAGAAGCTTAACGGTCCGCCCTTAACCTGAACGCTGGGAGAATATGCAGGTACCAGGGCTGGACCCAATGGGTTCCAAGCCTGAAGGTGCAACACACCCAGCTGTGCCACAGTAAAATCTCATGGAAATGAAGTGCAAAGCACAAGGCATTCGTCTCGATTACACCTTTACTGCAGGAAAAGCAGATGGCAGACGGGCCTGATTTGCAAGGGGTAGGATGCCTTTGACAACAGGCAGGCTTGGTATGGCGGTTAAGCCAGATGATGACATGGGCATTCCTTCCCCAAGAGCGTGAAGTTCATTACGCTCTCTGTGGGTACTACTAAGGATGGGAAAATATATCACAACATATTACATTGTGGTACAAAAATCATATTATTTGTATCATGTGGTCTGCTGTACAACCTTTGAAATAAAGAGAAAAAACTTTATTAGGGAAACTGCATAACCAGTTCACTAGTACAGCAGAGGGAGCAGTGGCTTCTGTCGTGTCTCTTTTGCGACTTCAAACTATATGCTGCAGTTTTTAATGAAAGCAGAGTCTATTTCCAGCATCTCAAAGAGAGCAACAGGTTTGCTTTTTGTTTATGGGAAATTTACATTTAAACTGGTTTAAACGCCTACTATATAATACTATTTATTTACATTTTTGAATATTTTGTTATTTTGTATGCAGCAACAGTCATGCCTTCTTGTAATCAAATTGTTTTAGGTATTGTGGTGGTATGAAATTATGAACCCTATACTGTGTATCGAATCATATTGGGAATAAAGCACATTGTCCCATTCCTTGGTACTACTCTTCACGGAATTTGACATTTGTTTTGTATCATGAAAAATATAATACTACAATACAGCACAGTGAAAGTGAATATATTATTCCATTATTAACCAATAAAATATTAATCACTGCACTCCAAACCAATACTTTGCTAAAAAATACCATTCTCACATTTAGATTTCAGAGGACTTCAGGGAGTCACAGTTGTATTTGTATCCTGGCAGGTTCAACCTTGTTTTTTCACAGAGGAAGACACACTGTTATTAAAAATTTTATTGTTGTTTTGTTTCACGTTCATGTCTAGAAACAGGAAGTGCATGCCTTGTTTGTCCACTAAGTCGCTTTCTTTCAAGAAAATAGCAAAAAGATCTTCCCCTATTTCTGTAACTCAAGATATAAAAAAAACACACTTCCCAATTTCTGAAAGGTTTGTTTTCCATAATCTGGCTTTTGCCTGTTGGTCTACCAGGAACACTTCTAAATTCATACTGTACTAGAAAACTTCCTAAAATGCACTTATAGAAATCCATACTCTACTACCATACTCCTCCAGTGAATTGTACTTGCGACTGATCTGCCTCATATCAGGCAGGACCGCGCCCTACGGTTTTCTCAGCACACAATAAGGGATTGTTGCCCTCGATGTCTTCCTCCCTGGGAAGACCAAATTGAATAAAGATGGCTGCACGTGGCTTTAACTGGATCAGCCGTGTGCTGATTTATGACATTGCCAGAATGAAAAGCTTCTCAGGGGTGCTGGCGGGCTGCTGGGCTTATGATAAGTAAGACAGCCCACCCTCACCCTCACAGCCCCCCCGCACAGCAAGTGCTGAGTCAGCAGCAGCTTCCTCTGCCTCTTCTCTCTTATAACCCTGTTTATGCTGCACCTACGTCAGCCTCGCTACCTCTGAATGGCCATTACAGCTACAACATGTTATAATGGTATTAATGTTATAGCACGGACAACAGCAGCCCCACAGGATGTAACATGAGCATGGCCACACCCATACAACTGATCCAGTCACAGAGGCATGTGTAAGACCGGCTTGTATGGCAACAACCAATCATGCATGAAGGGGGCGGAGCCTATATGACACACAACTTGTTTTAGAATTAAGGGGTGGAGCTCACAGGCATGGGAGTGGGTCAGGGACGGTGCCACAGGAGTTACTTTGGGGTGGGGTTTCCTCCACATGGCCCTGCTTTCCCACTGCAAGGTGTTCCAAGGATGAGCAGAATGCATTGTGACATCACATCCATCACGCCACAGGGCACGTTCAGGGCTCTCTGCCATTCATTCACAAACCTGAATTCAGCTTAGCTGCTCCCTCCCTCCCCAGTCCATTAATGGCCTCTTAAAGACATGTGACCCACATGTATCTAATAAATTGTTCTGTTTGTTTGATGACAAAGCTGGCTGTGGAGGTGGGGTTGCATTGTTCTCTATTTACAGCTAAATTACATCGTGTACAAATATTACGGATTATTCCCAGATGCGTGCTGACGGAACGGAAGTATTAGCTGGGAGAGAGAAATGGAAAGGTGTGGGGTGTTTCCTGACTCGACTCTCATGGACGAGACACTGCTAAGCAACTAAACAAAAGCTAAATAAAGGTCAGGTCAAGGTGGATATCCAGAGAATACAGCGGGATTTCAGACAAGCATTATACAGAGGAGCCAAAAAGCTGCAAACACATGCCAGCAGGAGCTGGAAATGGAAATGGAGGAGAGATCCACTCTAAATAATGACTAAGCTGGAGTACAGCTATTTTTACCATGCCGGACTGAAAGCCTATGTGCTTATTCATCCATGTACAAAGAGTGCGAGCTGCTTCTGGCTAGGCACAGACTTCGGGACTGGAGCAGTCGACTTTACGAAGATGCTAAAAGACATCATGGAATCATGGACATGACATCCCCCTAAGATGCTAAACAGATAACAAATAAAAGAAAGCTTTACATCTCACAATGATGCTAAAATACAAGGATGGGATCATTGGTTAGCTGCTATATCAAGCTAAGAAGCTAAATTACAATGACGGAAACACTGGTTTGATGCTACATCCTGCTAACATGCTAAAAACCAGGATGGGAGCACTGGTCTGCTGCTACATCCCACTACAGTGCTAAAAATACAAGGATGGGAGCACTGGTTTGATATTACATCTCACTAAGATGCTAAACTACAGGAATGACAGCACTAGTTTGANGTTTGATATTACATCTCACTAAGATGCTAAACTACAGGAATGACAGCACTAGTTTGAAGCTACATCCTGCTAACATGCTAAAACAAGGATGGGAGCACTGGTTTGATATTACATCCCACTAAGATGCTAAACCACAAGGATGGGAGCACTGGTTTGATATTACATCTCACTAAGATGCTAAACCACAGGGATGAGAGCACTGGTTTGCTGCTACATCCCACTACAGTGCTAAAATACAAGGATGGGAGCACTGGTTTGCTGCTACATCCCACTACAGTGCTAAAATACAAGGATGGGAGCACTGGTTTGCTGCTA